GGGCGTGGGGGGCGAGCTGGCGAAAGGGTGGATTCAGTGGTGTTGGTGGAGCAGGGCGAGGTTGAGCAGATGATGAAGCAGAAGAGCGACAACTTGGACGTGCAGGCAATAGGCATGTTTCTAATTAGCAGCGGGTGTTAACAAGGGCTAATAAGCAGCTACTTGGACAGCAAGTGGGTGGAGTGCAACAACATGGAGACGGCTGGGTGCAACTAGTGCGGAGAGGGGACGCGCAGTTGGCACGACGCACAGCAGGAGGCGAGCACGGAGTAGCAGCAGGTAGAGGAACTGATGGATAAGCTGCGCAATGGGTGCGTGGCGTGCTGCATGCTGGACAACGCTGGCACAACTGAGTAGCAGCAGCACAAGACAATGCAGTGCACCGCGCACCTGGGCGTGATGGGCATGGAGCTGGACGCATTTCGACAAGGGATTCACGACTAAGGTGGCAGTCACAGCTGCCAACAGTGCTAGGTTAGTTAGAAGTACTGCGCGACGCGGGAGGACGTGCAGAAGCAATGTCAATAGCTAAACGTGGTGGTGCTGTTGGCAAGGACAGCAGCAGAGCTGGATTGAGGCGTTTAGATCATTTAAGAGCAGTGCAGGTACAGTGGAGAGCTTAGAGGGGACTAGAAGGAGTACGCAGCGTGGCTAGGGAAGCGGCATAGGGAGCAAGTGTGGGGGGAGTTTTTTAGCAATGCAATGGTGGTAGCAATTAGAGTGGTGTTGTTTATACAGCAGTATAACAGTAGGCAGATAGTAGAGATAGAGTAGCGTTAGCGTTAAGGCAGAATTAAGGTTGTATATCTTAGAGATGCTTAACTAACTTACATACGCACATTATGTAAGAGTTAGTAAAGTTAAAATTAATAAATAGTAATAAAAATAGTGTAGATAAGTAGAAAAAGAAGATAGAATAGATATTTAGCTATAAGATAATAGTAGGCAGGTTAGTGTTAAGGTAGAAAAAAAAAATACTAGCTGCTAGTGGTTTTCGAATTAGACCCTAATTCATTTATTTGTGGCCTGTGCGGCCCCTTTGGTTTGTAGGGCAGGGCGACCCTAATTCATTTACTGCTTCAACAATAGAAGAAGACCCCAGCGCCACGCTGCTGGCTAGATGCGACCTGGCGAAAGGGTGCAACCAAGCCCTGCGCACATTTTGCCCTTTTCAGAATTGCTGCCTGACCACTGCGTGGATGGGAAAAGTAGATAACACTGCGGGTTAAGGTGGAGGTGAGGTTAGTAGTTTGCAGGGCTGGCCCCTTCCCCACTTGTAAGCGAGCGCGCCCCCGCGCGTAGAGACTAACCATATCACCATAACATGCAACAAGCGCTAGCAACTACAACTCAAATACACCAACGTTTATATGCTATATAGCTTTAAACAACTCAGGCAGCGTTGTCTGGCGCAGAGGCGCCGCTGGCGCGCTCTTGAAGCGAACCTGCGACTGCGCAATCTCAACGCGCCTGTCTGCTTCCTCTTCTTCTTCCTCGCTGTCGTCTTCGCTGTCCTCAATCTCCTCCACCTTGTAAGTTGTCTCTAGAGCCTTGACCTTAATGCTCAGCGTCTTCTTCCCCTTGATCTTGCCTCCCGCGATGCCCTCTGGGCCTAACCATTCATCAAATTGCTTAGCTGCGAGACAGACATCTGGACGCTCCTTCCTGACCAGCTTGATAAAGACGTTGACACCCCAGGAGCGGATCTCGTGCTCAATCCAAGTCTTCAGTATGGCGTTGTCCGGCATGACCAGGAGCACGCCCCAGCCCAGGCCTTCAGCCACCCTGTACCACTTGAATGCTCTAGCGAGCCGCGCCCGAAAGAGATCCCGCTCTTTCTTAGAAGGGTTGGGGTTAGAGTTGACCAAGTGCAGGAGAGAGTCTATGGCCTCTGTTCGGCGGAGGCCCTTGCCAAATTGATTTGTCTTGTCGCTGCTGACAAGCTTGTCATTGTGTTCGATCTGCGCTAGCTTGTCAGCCAACGCCTTGCCCAGGAGCGCCTGCGCCCACCTGTACTCGATGTGCACCGACTTCATCACTTCGTCGTAGACGTTGCACCGCTCCCACGCAGAGCAGAACGCTCGATCTGCGCTGCTCTGCCGTGAGGGATCGACCAACATTGCACGCAAATGCTGCAGCTGCGAAGAAGGGGCGTCGTACCGCGCAGCCACTCCGCCGCCGAAGAGCGTTCCGCGCTTTCGCCAGACCTGGAGGAAGTGGGCAGCGTGCTCTTGAGACGACGAGCTCCCAAGAGCGCGCGCCTTGGCCACAAACTCGCGTGCCTTTAGGTAAGGCGTCTTAACGGCGTCGTAGAAGTTCAGCTTCTTCTTGTTGCCGCCTACGGCTTCCTGCTTGAAAAGCCACGATATGACCTCCTTGTCCTTGGAGGATATGGACGCGTAGGCGCCACGTTCATCGTCGCCTGCTCTCTGGTCTGGCGCGACGAGGCCAAGATCCAGGCTGCGCTCTATCAGGGCAGCTTCGTGTTTCTTGATGCGTTCCCGCTCAGCGCGGCGGTTGTTGTTAGTGACTGTGGTGGTGGTGCGCTGCTCCTCTACCGGCCGCTCTCCGGGCTGCTCTCCTGGCTGCTCTTCCAGTTCGCTGAGTTGCTCGGATGGCTGAGGGCTGGCTGCCGGCGTCTCGACCGCTTCTGTGCGAGCGCGCTTGGGCGACAGCGCTGGCGCGGAGGGTGCTGGTCGTTTCTTGCGTTGGGTTAGAGGGGAGGCAGACGGCTTCTGCGCAGACGGCGGCTCTACTATGCCATCTTCCGCGAGCGACTGGGCCGCGCAGACCAGACGGTCCCAGACATCGCTAGGCAGGACGTCGTCGGCGAGCGTCTCGCGCAGAAGCCAGATCGCTGACAAGACGGAGTGGGCAATGAAGACGGGCTTGCAGACGCTGGCATCGTCACGGGTGGGGATCAGCCATCCTGCGCTGTGCGGGCGAGCACCTGGATCACGCTGCGAGCGTGAGATGGTCGCTCGGCAGAAGAAGAGCTTCTCGTAGTCTTCATTCGGCGGTTCATACCCATACTTGCTGCTGAAACTAGCTTCGCTAGCTGGAGGGAAGCTGCGAGCGCCGCCGTCGAACCGCTCCGCAGCGTTGTATAGCGCGGTAGACCAGTGCATGCTGAAGAGGTGTGTGTTGCTCCAGCCAAGCTGTGGGACAACAGAACAAGATGCTGGGTGGTGCTGGGGGCGGGGGCTGGTTTTTGACCGGGTCCCCTGAGGCGCGCGTTGGCCCAATGCACGAAATCGGGCCGCGCACAGATGTACCACCACACCATACCACACCAACTAGTGTTGGCGGAACTCAAGGAGCAATAAACCTAAAACAACATCTTAATAAGAGCGCGTCAATCCACAGCAGCAGTTAAAACAGAGAGGGTTGTCTCTAATAAACTATAAACCCTAACAGCATTTCCTATCTATGTAAACACTAACACAATTACATAGAGTTGTTTAACAGCGTCTTTGCATACCTTCCTACTTACTATGTGGCTGTCTGCAAGACTTACTGTTAAGGTGTATTGTTGTCGCAGGTGTCCTCCTACCTACACAGCAGCCACCAGGAGCTGACTGTAGCAGCACGGAAGGCGATTGCGTCTGCAGCCAGAACGCTTGCAGGATGGGCAACATCTGCAGACGAGGTTGTATATCTATTGCCTGAGGCACAGCCACTACCTTACTTGGCCCTGTACAAAGATGGATTCAAGTGTAAAGTAGAGCTATGTAAGTACATCGCGCGCGCGCCGCAGGGCATAAAGGACCACTGCAGGAAGGAGCACGGGTGGGACAACCTGCGCAGGAGAGGGCGGCTGCATTAGGGCGCACAACTACCACCAGGCAGCCAGATGTGGACGGGGGAAGTATGGTGCCAGAAGTTCTAGCCTACCGGCCAGCTTGGACGGCTGTTTGAGGTCAGCCAGCCTGCAGATGAGGCCACGCAGGGCGTCGCCGTCGAAGAGGAAAACCTGCAACGCGCCCTCAAGACGTCATTCACCCAGAGCAGCATAGCAGTAGAGAAGGCTCAGCAAGACGCGCACGGCCAGATTGAGCCAGACAGCAACCGCTATGTTTGGCGCAAGTGGCTGAGAAGAAGCTGCTGGGCTCGCCACCTTGGCCATTTCGACCGCAGCTGGCTGCTGACGCAGCTCCAGAGGCCCAGCAAGACAGAGAATGCGCTCGCGAGGGTGTGCTGGGCGGTCGAGATGGTCATCTACAAGGCCCAGCGAGCATCGTCGCCCGAGGTGGTTGGGTTCCCCGCTGTGCAGTACATCGAGCGCCGCGAGGTGGGAGCGCCAGACAGCGAGCATCCGTTCAACGCGCTCCAGACAGGGAAGACGATGATCAAGTACAGTCGCTGCTGGCTGTCCATCGTCTGCTACATCTGGCGGACGCACAAGCTGGCTGAGCCAGAGCCAGAGCCAGAGCCACAGGCTGCCAGCGCCGCGGACGACGACGACGACGACGACGACGAGGATGTGCTCAGCCAGCGGCCAGACGATGGTAGAGCAGGCACGCAGGAGACTTCAACAGCAAGGACAATCAGCGGGAGAAAGCCGCGGTATCGACTGACTGGCAAACAGACGCGGGCGCTGTGGCAGATCCAGCAGGTTGTGTGTGCGGAGCAGCCCAGCAGCAAGAATACAGACAATGACGATGATGATGACAATGAAAGCGAGCTGGATGATGACACAGAGAAGGAGCTAGAGCGCCTTGTTCTCGCCTTTCTACTTTCGCTGCTGGACCACCACGTCAAGGATGATTACTACAGAAGCGCCCTAGTTAGCGCAACCGCCGTGCTAGGCGTGGACTGCGACTGTGGGTGGAAGAGCCCCCTCGTGTATACGACGTCGCTGTCTGCTATTGTGACAGTAGCCAAGATGCTAGTGCTGTACAGCGCAGTGCAGGCGCGGAAGAAAGCGGTAGCAGATCTTATAGAAGCAGAGTCGTGGGCGCAGGAGGACGCAGAGGACATAGCGCGGAGCCACGTAGAGCTGGTGCAGGAGATGGTTAACTGCTTCATGACGCTAAGCACGCACGGTGGCCTGCCCACGCCCATGGACTGGGTGCTACGGCTGCGGGCGTATGGCAAGAAGATTAGGGGCGAGGTGACCGCGGAGGGCACCGTTCAGTGGGTAGGAGACACGATCCTGCACGGCTACACGCAGTACAGCATGCCCGCGCTGCGCTCGATGATCCACGGCCTGGTGGAGACGACGCGTAGGGAACTGGAGAGGGACTTGCTGCTTCTGGACGTCGACGAGCTCGGCCAGCTCGCTGAGGGAGCAACCCTGTTGCCGACGATCGAATGGGACAAGATTGTGGACAATCCCGCTGAGCTGCGGTCTGGATTCAACTTCTTCCAGGACAAGCGCAACACGTTTGGCGGCGTAGACGGAAGCTGCTGGCTAGACCAACGGATTGTCAAGGAGAAGAAGCTGCGAGAGGCGTTTGTCGACGTGAAAGCTTTTGTGCCTGGCGGGAGCGGCGTGACGTGGGTGGAGAAGCGGGTGCAGAGATACGAAAAGGCGCTGCGGCTGTTCCGCGAGCACTTGCTGGTACTCGTTCACATGACAGGTGGTGCGCCTGCCCGCGGTACAGAGCTGGTGACGGTCACGCACACCAACATGCCCAACGCAGAGAGCCGCGGGCTGTTCGTCGAGGACGGGCTGATGGTGTACGTGACCATGTACCACAAAGGCATCGGGCAGACCGGCAATGCCAAGGTCATTCACCGCTACCTGCCGCGCGAAGTCGGCGAGCTGCTGTTCTACTACCTGTGGATGGTCCTCCCGTTCTGGCAGAAGCTGGAGCGCGCATCGAGCAGGCGCCACGTCCCAGAGCCCAGCGCCTTCCTATGGGAGCCGATTAGAGAGGAGGCGTGGGCTGGCCCGCAGCGAAGGAAGAAGCAGCGGCTCGTTGACGAAGATGAGGAGGAGGAGGAGGGCAGAGAGGGAGTTGGAGAGGAAGAAGAAGAAGAAGCGGGAGAAGGGAGCAACAAAGACGAGCGCAGCACCCAGACAGGATCAGGCAGGAAACGCAAGCGAGCAGCTGTGAAGACGCCGCAGCGGTGGGGTACAGACCAAGTGCGGCGAGCCATCGAGCGCGTTACGCTGCACTGGCTCCAGACCAAGCTCAACATTCAGATCTGGAGGCACAACACCAAGGCCACCTTCCGCCAGTACCTTCAAGACAAGGACATCCTGAAGGCGCTCAACTAGGCTGACAACGAGGGAGAAGAAGACGTGGAAGACAACCCAATTAATCTGGGATCTAGGCACAGGTCTAAGTTTGCTGGTCAGATCTACGGCAGGCCCATAGACGAGTCGCCTTTTAGCATCATGGCGCAGCGACAGGCACTCCGGCGGGTTAGCATCGCCTGGCACCGCTTTCTACAGTTCAGCTCGACATTAAAGACGCCGCCTGCAAAGGGGACCCGGGCCGCTGAAGCTAGAAAGGAGGCGGTGGAGGAACAGTTCCGGCGCTGGAAGCAGATGCGGAGGGTGGACGTTCAGGCGGCGCTCGAGCGGCTGCAGGGGAAGGGCAGCACGTTCAGAAGCGTGCAGCAGCCCGCCATAGAGGCCATCATGAAGCAGAAGAGCCCCGTGGTGGTGATCATGGGCACAGGCGGAGGCAAAAGCGCGACATTCATGCTGCCGGCGTCGTGCTCCACCGGCGTCACGATCGTGGTCGTCCCCGTGGTTGCGCTCAAGCAGAACATGATGGATCGCTGCAAAGCCGCTGGGATTGACTGCGTCCTGTGGGACAGCCAGCGGCCGCACGAGTGGGCTTCGATCGTGCTGGTGGTGCCCAAGTCCGTGGCCACGCTAGCATTCGAGCAGTTCATCAACCGGCAGCGATCCATGGGCTGGCTGGACCGCGTTGTCATCGACGAGTGCCACACCATACTGGACTCAGTCAAGGGCTGGCGGACCAAGGTGCTGAAGCTGCGCGAGCTGGTCAAGGCGGAAACGCAGCTCGTGTGCTTGACGGCGACGCTGAAACCCACGGAGGAGAGCGAGTTCATCCGGCTGATGGCGCTGCCGCCAAAGGAGCAGTGCGAGTGGTTTCGTGCACCAACGAGCCGGCCCAACCTTGCGTACAAGGTGCACTGGTACAACCATCGAGAAAAGAGCGAAGCCGACGTGCTGGCGGAGCTGGTGGAGGAGAAGAAGCAACAGTACCCGCTGCCCGGCCAGATCGTGGTGTACACCGACTCCAGAAAGAAGGCGCAGGGGTACGCTGCGATGTTGGGAGCAGTCTGCTACCACCGCGAGGTGGGCACGCCGGAGGAGAAGCTGGAGATCTTGCGCCAGCTCACAGAAGGGACAGAGCACGTGTTTGTGGCGACGAACGCGCTGGGGCTAGGGATCGACAGAGAGACCGTCAGGGCAGTCTTGTTCGCTGGGTCGAGGAACACGCAGAAAATGCGCGACGTGGTGCAGATGGGAGGACGTGCAGGCCGCGGCGGGCTTCCCAGCGAGGTCATTTTCATCAGAGGCGCCACGTACAGCCCGCAAGGCAAGCGATACGCTAGCGGCTGGGCCAAAGACACAGAGGAGGGTGTGCGCGAGCTCGTCGAGGGTGACGGCTGCATGAGAGTCATCATAGATCGCGAGATGGACGGAAACCACACCAGAGAGGGCTGCGAGCCAGGAGAAGAGCCGTGCGGCCGGTGCCAGCTGCGGGTGCACAGCGCTGGAGCAGAGGTAGAAGCAGCCGTGGGCGACGAGGACGAGACAGAGAGGGCCGAGTTCAACGCCCAGCTGCAGGCGCGCAGGAACTTGAGCCAGCAGGAGAGGGAGCTGGCGTCGCGCGAGCAGCAGGAGGTGCAGAGGCTGGAGGAGATGCTCGAGTCTTGGAAGGCGTGCTGCCAGTGGTGCCGGGCGAAGGAACATGCGGATGCAGGCCAGCACCAGCTTGCCCACTGCAATCGACTGCAGGCGGATGAGGTGCGCGATGGAGTGAAGGACGTTGCGAAGATGATCCGGGAGCAAGCGATCTGGGAGAATTTCAGCTGCTGCTTCCAGTGCGGTGTTCCCCAGTCGATTTGCGACAGCTTCGAGCCCCATCCAGATGGTGGCTGGCAGAAAAACTTGGCGATCGGCTGCCAGTTCGAGGCTGTGCTGCTCACGTCCATGATGTGCGTGTGGACGGCGTGGGGAAGCACGTTTAACAACTGGGTGCGGGTACAGATGCAGAGAGAGGGGATTAGGCGGAAAGAGGAGGTGGAATTCGACAAGGTACTTGTGTGGATGGGTAGCACAGTATGGTGGGGCGGCATACAGAGCAGCAAGATGTGCTGGGTATTTGTCTTGTTTGTGTTGTACGTTGAAAGGATTAGCAGCTTGCTACAGGAGGACAGCGCAGCTAGTAGTAACTAAGGCTTGTGTAAGAAACACACAAAAGTTAGAACTAACACAACTACCACAACATAAGGCACAAACAAAGAGATAACTAAATAATAGTTAACATACTCTATAAGCAAGTAGCTCACATAAGCAAGTGGCTTACTTTTGCTAAGACTACACTAAACTTTACTCTACCTATAATGCCTTAACGTAACAACACAATTAAACCCTTAAAGGAAGCAGGAATACAGCTTGCTCTATAGGCTATCTATTAAGACGCAACACTCTCTTAGTGACGCGCTGCAGCCATCTACAACGTGTCTTAAAGGACACTTAGTCACTAACTTGCTAGAACCTCTCTATGACGTGATTGCAAGCCTAACATGATTAAGATAACTAGCACTAAAGAGGAGGTAATTGTCTAGCACGTGTTAAGGCTAGATAAGCAAGGATTCTCACCCTAACTCACTAATGTAGAGGGTATAGCTAATTCTCTGCTTGCTAAGCGCCACTAGACCCCTGTTAGCAAGAACTAGGCTACTAACTTTGTTAAACGTTAGCTAGAGCTTAAAGTTAAGTTTAATCGCAAGTACAACTACAAGAGAGCGCTGTGTGAGGATCCTAAGGTTATTAGTGACTAGTTCTAGCTTATAGAGAATACTAAAGCTAAGTATAGTATCCTAGATAAAGACACCCACAACTTTAATAAATCTGGCTTTATAATAGGTGTTATATCCACTAGTGCTGTTGTCACAGGCTCTAAGCGTTAAGGGAGACCAAAGATAGTGCAGCAGGGCGACTGAGAGTAGACTAGCATTATCCAAGGCATCTGCGCAAAGGGCTGGTCTATCCCACCCTTTATTATCCTCTCTAGCAAGCACCACCTCTCAGCCTAGTACAAGGAGCCTAGTATACCTAACAACTAGGTTATTAGTGTCTCTAACAATGGCTAGACTAACAATAAGCTTAGAGTTAAGTAGTTAAAGCACTTTAATAAGCACACAAAGGCGCGCACTGTTAGCAGCTACTAACTGCTTGTTCTGGACGGCTACAAGAGCCACAACTTAGTTGAATTCTACTAGTACTGTGAGGAGCACAAGATTATCACTCTGTGTATGCCCCTACACTCATCCTATCTGCTACAGCCGCTTAACGTGGGTTGTTTCTCCCTATTAAAGAAGGCCTATGGCCGCCAAGCCGAGCAGCTGATGCGGAGCAAGATCACTCGCATTACCAAACTTGAGTTCTTGCCGTGCTTTAAAGCTGCTTTTGATGCTTTAATTACCAAGAGCAACATCTAGGGAGGATTTAGAGGCGCTAGCCTAGTCCTGTTTAACCTAGAGGCTGTGATATTAAAGCTTAAAGTACAGCTACGCACGCTAACGCCACCTATTGTAGACAACAGCACGTGGGAGTCTAAGACACTAAGCAACACCCTAGAATTTAGGTCTTAATTAAAGCTAATTCAAGAGAGGATCTAGAGACACGCTAATAGCTTACCAACATTAATAGTTAACGCCCTTAATTAGCTTACTAAAGGCGCAGAGCTAATGGCGCATTTACTAGTTTTAGTGCGTAACTAGGTTGCTGACCTTTAGGTAGCTAACAAGGCTGCCACACGCTGTAAATTACACAAAAGAAAGCAATTATAGCAAGATAGGGTATTAACCTTTGCTAAGGGAGTGCAGCTAACTACTCTAAAGGAGTTTAAGGCCTGTAGTAATAGGAAGAAGGCAAAGAAGAGAGGAGGCGCTAATAGCAGCACTTAGTTATTAAGACACTGTAGCATGTGTGGCAAGGCAGGGCATAACAGGACAATGTGTAAGAAAGATGCGTAAAGTACTGTAGATTAGTGCAATATACTGTGTAGTACATGATATTATTATTGTGTGCTGTAATGTTGTAAAGTAGTTGTAGTGTTAGTGTAGTCTTAGTAAAAGTAAGCTACTTGCTTGTGTAAGCTACTTGCTTATGGAGTACGTTATAGGTTATTATATTTAAGTTAATTTATAAATTATAGTTGTTTAACACTGTAGATTTATAGTTACATGTCTTAAAGATATAGAGGCAGACTAACTAGTGTGTTAGTATTACGTAGAAGTTAGAAAGTGTAAAACAGCTAAATAGCAACACAGACACTTTAGAGATACAGAGAGAAACACCTAGAGAAGGGCTACTAACTAAAGTAGTCCCTACAACCTAAGTAATACCTGCTAACCTAAGTAAAGCCCCCTAACCTATGCAGATCCCCTAACCTAAGTAGAGCCCCTAATCTAAGTAGAGCCCCCTAACCTAAGTAGGGCCCCTAACCTAAGTAGAGCCCCTAGCCTAGCCAAGATAAGGGCGCGGGGAGGACACTAAACCGCAGCAAAAGAGGCTTAGCATTAGGGTTTAACCCCTTTTAAGCAATCTGCTTTAGTAGTCCCCTATATTACCCTAACACTACTAACCTACTATTACTTTGCACCTAAATTAAAAAATATCTTATATAAACTTAATTTATATATACTTTGCGCAGCGACAGTGAGCGTTTTGTCTGTATATTTAGCAAAACTTAGTGCTATTATACCTAGTAAGTAGGGTTAGGGTTTCTGCGCGATGGAGCTTGTGTGGGACAGCCAAGCAAATAATTCAGGCAGCAGCGAAAACAACACTGCAAACTCCCACAGATGGCCCCGGCAGCTCACACTTAGCAATTCTGATAACGTTTTCTGCTTTCTTAAAGGCTTTAGCGTTATTGTTTGCAAGCAGCACTGTATAGCAGTTGTGAGTCTTGATGCGCATCTCCGCAAATATCATGCTGCATCTGCTGTACTACGGCGAAAGATACTTGAGCGCTTTACTTAATTTAAGACTGTCGCTCTAAGCGCGATTAAGCTCCTAGAAGAGCCCACGCAGCCAATAGAAGAGCTAGGAAAGCCGCTTGATGGTGCGCAGTGTGAGACATGCAGCTAGATCACAATTAACAAAGATAAGATGCGCAAGCACTGCAAGCGAAATTATAAGTAAGCGTGGGTAGGAGAGAAAAGCTTGCTCTATAGGACTGTGAAGGTGCAGAGCTTTTTCTGCACTAGAGGACTGCAGAAATACTTTGTTGTTAGTTTTATAGATGCTAGAGATCCCAAAGACGCTGCGATGGAAACCTACGTCCAGGCACAGCTTGCTAAGTACAGATTAACACAACAAGAAATTAAGGAAGAGCTGCAAACACTAGAAGAAGCTGCAAAGACTAACAAGACAGGATAGTTTAAGCGCATAGGCTGGCTAGAGTTCTTTAAGGACTGGAATCTCGCTTATCTAGCGCATTAAGCCCGCCTGCCTGATCACAGCAAGCGCAAGATTAAGCTGGCTGCTCAGCTGACTGAAGGGCTGATTGAAAGAAGCGTGAAAGGACTAGCTACGCTCCCGCAAGAGTTGAGGCGCTGGCTGCGGAGCGCAAAGCGAGAGGAGCCAGACGTGCGACCGTTGGCGCGCTTGCAGAATCTGGAGAGTTAGGCAGTGTACACAAGCTACATGGTGAGGTTCGTCAGCTTCTATCTGCGGGTACTAGCCGACGAAGAGCAGCGGATTGTGCGCTTTGGAGAGCAGCAGAATGCAGCCGCTTATGCAGAAAGCTGCTCAGCATCAGGCAGCGAGGAGGACAGCGAGGAGGACAGCGAGGAGGACAGCGAGGAGGACGATGACGGCAAGAGCAGTAAAGCTGATAGCAACAGCCTGCGGCCCTGACGTACAACACGCAATCGAACGCAGCTAGATAGGGTGAAAGATGCACGTGAGCTCTTCACATGGACAGACAAGCAGAAGTCATTTAGGATCAAGCTATAGGACGCGCTAGATGGCAACAACAGAGCAGCTTAGACAGAGGCGCTTCTTGCGTTAATTAGCTCGTTTGTCTTCACAACATATTACCCTATAGCGCTGTCTACTAGTCTGATTTAGTTTCTGGCAGTGCTTGGGTATGATACAGGCACAGACCGCTTGCGGACAGCAAAGAACTACTCGTATATGCTAGCAGGGATGGTGTACTGCGTGCGGGTAGTCGCAGTTGAGGCGCTGCTCCCAGGCTCACAGCGCAGCGCGCAAACTGAGCTGGACCGCGATCGCTTTGTAGAGATGCGGCAGAGGTATCTAGCAGATGGCTCGTTCAGCCCGATGAGCGAGATGATCAGCATGCTCGCGTACGGCAAGCACATTGGATTAAACGCCGGCAACTTAGGCAACGCACACTGGTCTCTGGACAGAAAGACGTTTTATCTAAACAGTTGTCCAATTGCTATCAGCTATTTCTGCAAGATAGCGCAAGACTTGCTGGCTGAAGCAGAGCAGATGCTGCAGGAGCTGTGCTGGATTAGAAAGGAGGAGGACTAGGTAACTATTAATCTTAAGCAGGTAGTTAATAATGTTACATTTATAAAATAACGCACGTCGTTTGTCAATGCACCAGGCAACTAACTGCTAGGTGGGCTAGAGTGGATGCTTAAGCGCGCACTCACCACAGAGGGCGGCCAGCGCTTGAAGCGTGCAGACGGGCAGTGGAGCGTCAAGGCAGTGCGGCAGTACTTACGGCAGGTTGACTGCTTCTTGGAGGTGCTACTCTGCAGCGTGCACGTCGCGTTAGGGCAGCTAGGGAGGGGGTCAGAGATCACAACAATTTGACACTGCAATAGCGTACTACAGGACTGCAACATCTTTGTTGTAGATAGGCAGGTAATGATAGTTGTCCGCTATCACAAGTTGCAGTTGCAGTGGGACAAGCCTACCCGAGATGACACGCGACCGCGGGGGCGATTTGTCTCCGGAACGGGCTTAGCGCAAGTGTTTTTCCGCTCCAAACGGCAGGTCCTCACCACCAATTTGTTTGGCCAATTCACAAACAACAACATTCATTTTCATTAAACTAACGTCAAGAGTCATCTTCACAGTGCTGCAGCTACGTTCTGCACCAATCGCAGCATTATCTAAGCCCCCGTTGCTAGAGCTTGGGGTTAGGGTTAGGGTTCGAGAGATGGAGTTCTGCTGGCCCGCACAGCCGTCTGCTGCGCAAGCTAGCCGAACAACAACCACAGACAGTACACCCGTGCATCAAGCAGCACAGTCACACAACGCGATCGAGGATGCAATCTGCTATCTAGCCGCGCATGCTGTTATTGTCTGCAAGCAGCATGCTACTGCAGTACAAAATCTGGACGCGCATCTACGCGACTACCACAATGCACCAAAGAGACTACGCAGAGAGATTGCAGAGAGCTATCAAGGCAAGACTGTCTTGCACACAAAGCAGATCATCTTGCCCAGTCCGCTAGGCCCGCCGATTGAGGAGCTTGGCAAGCCGCTTGATGGCTTTCAATGCAGCGAGGAGGACTGCAGCTTTATCACTGTCAACATAAACAAGATGCGCATGCACCGCAAGAAAGAACATAAGCTGCCGTGGCGAGGCAATAATGATGCACTGTATTAGAGAGTCAAGGTGCAGACATTCTTCCGCACCGGCGGGCTGCAGCGCTATTTTGTTGTGAATGCAGGAGACAGCAGCACAGGAGATAGCAACAGCGCGCTGTCTGCCCCCTGCGATGTAGCAGACAACGTCAAAAGAGAGATGGCTGAGTGGGAGACAGTGCAGAGAGAAGAAGAGCAGAGGATGCAGCTCATGGACGCAGCTGTGGCGAAGACAGATCAGACAGGCTGGTTCAAGCGGACAGGCTGGCCGGAGCACTTTGCAGGCCGCAATCTGGCACATCTTGCGCATCAGGCCCGGCTGCCCGATCGAGGCGAGGTAAAGCTGCAGCTAGCTGCTGCACTGGTCGAGGGGCTTGTGGAGAGGAGCGTGCGGGGGCTGTCAACGCTGGACCGAGAGTCGAGACGGTGGTTGAGGAGCGCGAGGCGTGACAACCCAGACCTGCGCCCGCTCACTCAACTGCAGAACGCGGAGAGTCAGGCTCGCTACGCAAGCTACATGGTCAGGTTTGTGTGCTACTTTCTGCGCATTATTGCTGATGAGGAGGCCTAAGTTGCACGATGAAGCAGAAGTGAGGCAAGCGATGATAATAATGACAATGACAACAAGGAAAGGTATAACAATAATAAAGAAGCAGAAGAGGAAGAGGACAGAGAGGGGGAAAGTAATTGTGGCAGCGACATAGACAGCACTGCACGTAGCTTACAGTTAGTACTGTCAGCACAGTCAGCACGATCAGCACAATCAGGAGAGTCAGAAGACGAGGCTAGAGGCAACAGCAGCAGCTGTCGCCCGCAGCGCAGGAAGAAGAAGATAGACTACATGAAGGATGCGCGCGAGCTGTTCTGCTGGCAAGGCTCGCAGCGCTTGCGGGCAATGCAGCTGTGGGACGCTTTAGAAGGTGGCGATCGAGGTGCTCAGATGCAGGGATTGCTTGACACGCTTACGGCGTTCTTCTTTGCTTTGATAGGCGGTAAACTGCTCAGCAACGGGCTCGTTCACTTTCTCGCCGTGCTAGGCATTGACGCAGAGCTAGGCCGCTTGCGCACGGCGAAGAACTACTCGTACATGCTCGCCGGCGTGGTGTACTGCGTGCGCGTGCTCAGCGTAGAAAAGCTTCTGCCGCATGCGTGCCGCGATGAGCAGACCGACGAGGACCGGCAGCGGTTCTTGACAGCAAGAAAGCAGTATCTGGCCGACGGCTCGTACAGCCCGATGAGCGAGACAATCAACATGCTGGCATACGGCAAGCACGTCGCGCTGGCGGCAGGCAACGCGGGCAATGCGTACTGGTCATGGGACAAGAAGATCTTCTACTTGCATGGCCGGCGGGTCTACGTTAGCCGCTTTCAGAAGATGGCGCAGGACATAGTCACAGAGGCAGAGCAGGTGCTGTGGCAGGAACTGTGCTGGGTGGCAAGGAAAGAAGAATGGTTTACTATCAAGCTGGACAAGGTTGTTAACAACATCTTGTTCACAAAACGCCAGTATTCGTTCATGGAGCGGGTTGAGAATGGGCTTAGTGGCAGGCTGCAGTAGATGCTCACGCAGGCAAAATAGACAGAACAGGGCTGCAGACTATACTTGAGCAATGGCAAGTAGAACGTGAAGCAGGTTAGGCGGTACTTGCGTTGCGTAGACTGCTTCTTGACACTGTTGCTTGTCTGCGTGCACATGACGTCTAGACAGCCAGGCAGAGGGTTAGAGGTAACAACAATGCGCTTTCAGAACAGGCAGCTACAAGACCGCAACATCTTCATTGTTAATAGGCAGGTAATAACAGTTGCCTGCTATCATAAGTCGCAGTTGCAGTGGGACAAGCCAAAGGTGGTGCCGCGCTTCTTGCCGCCGCAGCTGGGACAGGTCATGGTTGTGTATTTGGCGTACTTGCGCCCGTTTCGAGAGTACTTGACTGTGAATGTGCTTGGCAGTGGCTTCAGCGACTATGTGTGGGCGGACGAGCGTGGGCCGTGGGGGACCGACCGACTGACGCGGGCGCTGCAGCGCGAGACGGGCAAGAGACTTGGAGTGGAGCTGCACACGCTCGACTACCGGCACACCGCTGTCGGCATCGGGAGGGAGAAGGTAGGGCCGGCGTTCGGCAAGGGCTATCAGGACGAGATGGGTGAGGTGGAAGAGGCTGAGGTAGACGAAGGAGAGGAGGACTTGATAGAGCTGCAGAACGCGCGGACGACGGCGATAGGGGTGAGCAACTACAGCGTGCCGATCGACATTGTGAAGCATCTCAGCGCGCGCTCGATTGAAGCGTTCCGGACGCTCAGCAACGCGTGGCACAGCTTCTTGGGGCTAGAGAAGCGCCAAGCACCGCAGGAGGAGACGTGGACGAGCAATGTGGACGCGAGCAGACAAGCAAAGAAGCGACGGCGTATTGACAACAATAGCGAAGACAAAGAAGAAGAAGAAGGAGAAGAGGAGGAGGAGGAGGAGGAAGAGGAGGAAGAGGGGGGCAGAGAGTTTGTACAGCAACAGAGACTGTTCCAAGTCAGCAATGTGAAAGAGACAGTCATCTGCAGGGCGATGCAGCAGGTGCTTAGTCAGGAGGAGGTCAGCTTCAGGTCGGTCGAGCAAGAGCAGGCACTGCACGCGGTGATGGACAGGCAGACACCGCTGGTGGTTGTGCTGCCGATGGGCGGAGGCAAGAGCTTGCTGTTCAGCGTGCCGGCTTGCTTGACGGACGCTGGGGTGACGGTGGTCGTGGTGCCGTATCGAGCGCTGATGGAGGACTTGGTGAGCCACATGCAAAAGTGCGGCATCGACTGCATCGAGTGGAAGTACGGAGAGAGCAACCTGGCGAGCATGGTCGTGGTCAGCGCAGACATGGCTGGCGACACAAGAAGCAACAGCAACTTCATAGGGTACGCGAACATGCTGCACAGCAAAGGGCTGCTGCGGCGGGTGGTGGTGGACAAGTGTCATCTCATCTTCACGTCGAGCGACTGGCGGCCGAAGCTGGCAGAGTTGAAGAACTTGCAGCTGCTGCCGTGCCTGATCGTGCTGCTCACAGCGACGCTTCCGCCAGTGCGGGAGGGTGAGCTAGCAACAAGCATGCTAATTCCGTGCGCAATGTACATCC